CATCATGATTCACTCCGTGGACATGCTGTCATTTTTTTTTGCCTCTCGCGTTCCTGAGGCGTTGTGTGGTACATGCATGAGTACATGCATAGGGTACCCGATTGTGGGAGCGCACACCTTGACGTTCCTCTTTTCATATGACGACGCTTTTGGATAAGTGAATATAATTTGTACTTGGTGTTCCCATCTTCAAACGGTACTCACCATGTGCCATGTCCAGATGTACGTTGAATGTTTTACCTACTAGAAGGGTTTAGTCGTGATCATTGGCGTTAGTCGTCCAGATGGGGACGAGTCACTGGGCCTTGTTGCGACAGGCCTGTGCAGCCACCGGAGATGCGGCACAAAGATGCCGAGGCAGCAGGAAGGTGAATTTAATAGAGGGTTTATTACGTTTTGTACATATAAAAAGATCTCTGGTGAGTGAGCTGGGTGGCTCGTTATAAGGAGTACGTTCTCCCGAATCTCTACATAGATCGGGGAATGGGTTCAGATCACGCTGTTCAATCGCACGACACTCGCACTATTTCCGATGGTGGTTCCCACACCCGTCCAAACACACGACTACCATTGGGGCATGGCCACTGCATTGCCCTGTGGCACCAAGATAGCTTTTCCTTGTCATGCGAATGCCGCTGGGTGAAGGGTCCCACACTTCAGGCGACGGGATGCATCAAAAGGTCCGTCGTATCAATGTTCAAAAAGTCCGCCGAACTCATCGCCCAATTGTCGGGGATATAGTTGTCATCTGGGCTGACGGCGCTGTCTCTTCGAGAAAGGTGTTGCGACAGCGAAAAATGTTGTGGTCATCTCGTGAAACCCATTATGGTTTCGGACTGCACTGTTCCTCACTTCCCGGCTACAAAGGAAATACACGGCGGAAAGCAGGACAGCAGCCCTTCGGCGACTTGTCAGATGAACGAAGAACGCCGCTCCCCCATTAGCGCAGGCACTGCTCTTAACAGCGTCAACTTATCGGTGCATCGACGTCAAAAGATGCTACAGACTCCGAACACGAATAGTGATTGTTCAAGCTTTCGTATATCAATGTATAATAAACAATAAGCCATCTTTGCGAGGACAACGTTCACTAGCGTATCATATCAATTTTTATTATGGAGGAATCACCGTTCTTATATTTTTTAATGTTACAGTCCCAGCATACCCTGACATAAATAGATTATCAAAGTGCTTTATAGAGTTTTGTGAGCTTGTGCTTACCCTCACCCCGGTTTGCCACTCGGCTTCGTCGTATGGCGCTGACGCACAAAAATGTCGCCACCCTGAGCAGTCACTCCACTTAAAGTTCGTTGGCTGTCTGCCTGCGCGTTACCGATAGTTAAAGAATTTGGGCCGCTGTACTCCAGGCCTGTGACATAATTTCAAACTGAGCAAAAGTTATGACTGCTGTGCTTTTGCCATTTGCTGGGCAAAAAAAAAGAAAGAAAAAAGAAGCATGCTCATTGTAAAACACTAGTGCTTTGTGGGATGCGCTGCCAAGAATAGATGACGTCAGTAAGAAGAATAAATAGGAACTTCGCCTCCAGAACTACGTCGTAGCTGTGGTTAATCGGTCCAAGAGAATAGTTCTAGATTGTTGCCTCAGTAACTGGCATTACTTTTCTCTGCTAGTAATAGTAAGCATATAGAAAATTTAAAAGAAATGTAGCATGACGTCACGTATCACCGTGCATCAAGTGCGAGCGCTCAATGTCGATGGTGCTTATCTCCCCGTCCACACAATGGGATATATTAAAAAAAGTGACTCACACTCCTACATGAAAAAAGCAGATATATATCCAATGAAGCGAACGGGTAAATAGCTGCCGTGGTAGCTCAGTCGGCAGAGCATAGAATGCGTTATTCTAAAGTCGCAGGTTCAGTCCCAAACCACGGTACGTTATCTTGTAAATGCGGAACATTTCTTAGTCGCACGATGTCACGCTTCATGCGTCGGCGTTGTCCGCACCCCGACTGCGCATGCTCGCGCCTCGCGTATGATGCCGCATACATGCATGCGTCTCTGGACAAACTGTTTGCTCCCCCACCCCTCTCTCTCGCCTCGAAAGGCCGATGCAGGCGCCGTCTGCTAATAAAAACCGATTGCTCGAGCTGCACAACCACTTACTGGCCACCCCGTATATGTAGGCACTGGATCGCTCATCAGTGTCCCACTACTCGTTGAAGGCTACGCTTCTGCTTCATTCAATAAATTCACGCTACACCCTCCCCCCCCCCCTTTGCGACGCGTTTATTCAAGTACACGACCCCTACAACGCCACGTCACACGGGCTCACCTACCGAACTGGGAAGCATTCCGGCAGTCCTTACCTTACTCTCCCATTCTGGAGATGGGTTATTCCCAGTGGGCTCACTCTATGCTCCAAACACTAACAAAACACAATACCAAATACAACTCACTGATAGTCATACGTATGTAGATAACTATCTCCTCTATCTTTGGGAGGCCCGTCGCAACCCCCACAAAGAGATGGTGCTGACAAAAACACAACCGCCAACTTTGCATGTGAATATTGGATCTCACTCAGAAGGCGGCCGAGTGCGCTGCCCAGCTCGCCAACTCGAATTGGGCAGATCGCTGTAACACTGCCGGCAGGCAAATGTCCAGTCGCAATACATGGAAACTCTTCCGCAGTCTGATTGATCCCGCTCAAACGCGAGGCGAAACGCAAAAACAACTGCACCCAGCTTTTCACAATTTTCACGGCTCCACAACACAACTAGTCCTCTCACTACGAGACTGAAATCTTTGCACTCAGCAGGACACGCGAGGCTCCGCATATTGCTACGATGCAGGTAGGGAGAACTCGGCACTAGATGCTCCTTTCCAGTTGCACGACCTTCGCGCTGCTTTAGCCAAAATGAGGCGAGGTACGGCTTCTGTGCGAGCCAAAGTCACCGTTAAAATCCTTGCAAATCTACCCGATAAAGCGCACCAGTCGCTTTTCGACTATATCAATGCGATCTCGTTCGCAAAAATACCCCCCCCCCCCCCACTAGAGCGGAAAACGTCCCTAGTAACTGTAGTAGCCAACGTATGACGCGCCGTACTGACGTCACAGGCTACGTCATGTGCCTGTACTTATATTGGCATGCGAGCCGCTTGCTTATCACATTAAACCTTCGCCACCAACTGAGTCCAGCGTCGCCTTGCTCGCCGGCTACAACAGATGGCGACGAGGATGTGATAGGCTGCACCGAACGACGGGGGCGGATCCTGTGAGCAACGACTGCTGGAGGGCGAAAGGCAAGGTAGGGCGAAGATGTGGGAATTTGACGCCTTCATAGAAGAAGGAGACGAAGATTTCGCATCGTATGTAGAACGGTTTGGGCACTATTGCAAAGTAGCCGGCGTACAAGACGAAGAACTTAAAAAGTCAGCCTTCATCTCTGCCATAGGAAAGAAAGCGTACAAGACGCTTAAGGACCTTCTTCTACCTGCAAAACCTGAAGAGAAGACGTTCGAGGACTTGGTGAAAGTGCTGAGTGGCCACTACGAGCCTTCAAGTCAAGTCATTGTGGAGCGTTTCCAATTCAACAGGAGGTACCAAGGAGAAGGGGAGTCCGTCGCGGCATTTGCAGTCACGTTGAAGCACATGGCAGCAAAGTGCAACTACGGTACGTTTCTCGACGACGCTTTACGGGACCGGTTCGTCGCTGGGTTACGGAATTCCACCATTCAGACGGGTTTACTGAAGAGGAAGGAACTGACGTTCGAATCGGCCTGCGTTTTTGCTAAGAGCGTTGAGCTAGCGGAGCGGGAGTCGAGGAGATTCCGACCAATTGCGAATACGGATGCCGACATTCACGCTCTAAAGAAGACGGGGAAGGAACCGGAGTTTGCCAGCAAGCCGTAGAACAGTTCAATGCAAAGCTGCTATCGATGCGGTCAAGAGCATGACGCCCGTTGCTGCCGTTATCGTAAATTCAAATGCCATCTTTGCAAGTGCGTGGGACATTTGGCGCGCATGTGCAGTTGCAAGCAACCGCCGCCTGGCACCGTCCACAACGTGAGTGACGAAGCGAGCGGAGGCACAGAGTTGCTGCTGCACGGTGTGTATCTGGTGGGCACGGAACAACCATATGAAGTTGAAGTACAGATAGCCGGCCAGCTTGTGAAGATGCAAGTAGATACGGGCGCAGCCGTATCTACTTACCAATACTACGAACGAGTGATACGGGCGCAGCCGTATCACTCGTTCCGGAATGCGTTTACCGGCAGCTAAAGCAGTCGCCGCAGCTTACGAAGTGCGAGATGAAGCTCAAGACTTAAGAACGGCGGAGCGACGCTACAAGTGAAAGGCCAAGCGGAGGTTTTGGTCGATTATAAGGGACAGCGGAAAGTCCTGCCAATCATCGTGGTACCAGGAGAGAAGCCAGCACTTCTAGGCCGCGACTGGATTGCGAACCTCGGAATGGACCTAAACAGCATTCACGAGGTGCATGCACAACCGTCTGTCGACAGCATCCTGTCAAGGTATGCCAGCGTTTTTTCACCTGGTTTAGGTTTGATAAAGGGTTACCAAGCAAAACCGGTGCTTAAGGAAGGGAGCATGCCAGTCTTTTGCAAGGCGCGGTCTGTGCCGTATGCCATTCGTGAACCTGTCGAGCATGAGCTAGGCAACTTGCAAAAAGAGGGCGTACTGGTACCCGTAACCCGCAGCGACTGGGCCACGCCGCTGGTAGCTGTTCACAAGCCAGACGGCACAGTACGATTGTGTGGAGACTATAAATTGACGGTGAATCCATGTATGAAGACCGACCATTACCCACTGCCCGCGGTGGAGGATTTGTTCACGACACTGGTTGGGGGCAAGGTTTTCGCCGTTCTGGACCTTTCGACGGCATATCAGCAAATCGAGGTGCACCCGTGAGTCGAGAAGGTTGAAGCCATAAGGGAAGCACCCACACCTAAGAACATCAGTGAGCTTAAAGCGTACCTCGGCATGATAACTTTTTACTCCAAGTTCATGCCAAACATGTCTTCGAGGCTAAAGCCTTTGTATGCACTGCTTCAGAAGGATAAGAAGTGGGTCTGGTCCGCAAAAGAAGAAAAAGCCTTCGCGGAGAGTAATAGCCTCCTTACGCAAGCGAGCGTGCTAACATTCTATGACCCAAAGAAGCCTCTTGGATTAGTCTGCGGCGCCTCTCCTTACGGGGTTGGCGCAGTGTTGTTTCATGTCGTGAACGGGGAAGAAAGGCCGATAGCTTATGCGTCACGCACTTTGAGCAAGGCCGAAAGTGGCTACGCACACATTGAAAAGGAAGCGTTGGCTGTGATTTTCGGAATCAAACGGTTTCACAAGTATCTTTACGGCCGTGAATTCACCGTTTATTCCGATCACCTTCCCCTGGAGGGACTGCTGGGGCAAACAAAGCCAATTCAGCAAATGGCAGCAGCACGTATGCAGCGCTGGATACTAGTGCTAGCTGCATATCGCTACAAATGGGTGTACAGAAAGGGAGCCCAAGTAGCAAACGCGGACGCGTTATCGCGATTACCGCTTCCGAACGACACCGACGAAAGCGACTACGTTCACTTCTTTTCAGCAGTAGAAGCCGTACCACTATCTGCGAAAAGGATCAGTGACGAAACCCAAAAAGACCCAGTTTTGTCTAAGGTGCTAATGTATGTTTTGAATGGATGGCCATCGTACGTGTCAGAAGACAACGTAGCCCCATTCTTCTCGCGGAAAAACGAACTGTCGGTAGACTGTGGTTCCATAACATGGGGAACTCGGGTTGTTATACCTGAAGCGGTACAATCTGAAGCCTTATCGCTTTTGCATGAAGGGCATCCAGGCAGCACTCGCATGAAAATGCTATCAAGAAGCCATATGTGGTGGCCAAAGTTGTGCGACCGCATTGAAGAAACTGTAAGAGGTTGTTCAACTTGCCAACTAACGCAGAACTCTGCGCCCCACGTGCCGATGTTATCGTGGGGATGGCCAACCCGCAGGTGGCAGAGAGTTCACCTGGATTTTGCCTACTATAAGAACGACTGGTTTTTAGTGCTTGTCGATGCGCACTCCAAGTGGGTGGATGTTCTGCACATGAAGTCCACAACAGCACAGGCGACAGTTGAAAAACTCCGCACTGTTTTTGCTGCATTTGGGCTTCCCGGGTGATTGTGACTGACAATGGGCCGCAATTTGTGTCTGCTGAATTCACAAACTTTCTCAACTCCAATGCAGTGCAGCATACCAAGACACCACCTTACCACCCAGCTTCAAATGGCACGGCGGAGAGGCTTGTCCAGATCGTCAAGCGAAGCTTCATCAAACAGCTACGGGACGAGCAGAACACGGGAGTGACTCGGACGATGCAACATCGGGTAGACCAGTTCCTGTTCACCTACCGAAACACACCGTGTTCGACGACCGGTAAGACGCCAGCCGAACTGTTTCTCTCATGGAGGCCACGTACGAGGCTGAGCATCTTGCATCCGGAGCTAGCGAAACGTGCCGAAGCAAATATAGCTCGAAGACGGGGTCAGGAAACCCATACTTCATGGAGGGAGTTCGAGGTTGGCGACAACGTTCGTGTGCGAGGAAACCGACCGAGTGATCCACGTTGGTTGGAAGGAACAGTTGTGCGACGAGTTAGCAAAGGAACATACATAGTCCGTATCGAAGACCACGAGCGCTTTCTGCATGCGGACGATATTGTTCCTAACACATGCCTTGCTCCTCTTCCCAGAAGCGTGTGGATTCCTCAGCAAACCCGCATGGCACAGCCGGGTTCCACTCCGTCACAAAGCGACAGCGACACCGCATCGCCGCCGGACGGGCTTGCACCAGAGCAACGACTTCCGCCACCTGACCGAGCCAGCGTGACGGAACTGCCATCACAGCAGGCGCCTGACGCCAACTCCCAAGAAAACGTCGCGCCACCTGAATTGCGACGAAGCACAAGAATTCGAAAGCCTCCCGTACGTTTTGGCTATGCTGCTAAATAAAGGGGGAAGAGATGTAGTAGCCAACGTATGACGCGCCGTACTGACGTCACAGGCTACGTCATGTGCCTGTACTTATATTGGCATGCGAGCCGCTTCCTTATCACATTAAACCTTCGCCACCAACTGAGTCCAGCGTCGCCTTGCTCGCCGGCTACAACAGTAACCTTTATTCCAAAGCCAGGAAAGCCGCGCAACCAAAGCTACCCATGCTGAAGAGGTGGCCATAGCTCTGGCTATATCTCACGACAGTTCTAATAAAGATCAGACTCCAAAGTAGCTTGCCAAAATTTTCAACTAGAATGAATCTGACCCCTAGCTGTCAAAATTCTTAAATTTTGTCTGCGAGTAGGTTACCCATCTCTCCGCTCACTAATCTGGACTCCTGGCCATCCGGGCCTGGCAGGCAATGAGGTGGCGCACACTGCCACCCGCGCACTCATTCCCCGGGCCACTGCCTCGCCCACTGTTGACCACTGTAATCCAGAAGGGAACGTTCCTCTCCTAACTTATAGAGAGATAATTACCTATTACTGGGACTTCCACCGCCTTTTTCCTCCACCCTGCAAAGGACTTAGGAAGGCGGACGAGAGAATTCTTCTCCGGCTATTTACCAATACTACTGTGCCCAGCAGCGCTTAAATACTTTGACTCTTCCTTTTCCGGCCTCTGCCAGTACTGTGCGGAGGTGGCTGACACCTACCAGATAGTATGGGCATACCAGCTCAATCCTTCTTTACCCGACTCGCTTGCTGGATTCCGTGCCGACCGGTGGTCCTACGCCACCTCCTGACGCCGGTCCCCGACGACAACGACAGCGTAGCCCTGGCCGACTGGATTACTGGATTAGCCCTACGCCATCTCCTGTTGCCGAGAAAACTTCTCGCCAGCGTTGCCTCGTCCTCGGACTCCTGTGACCGTGTTCATCTTTCCTATCTTCTCTTTACTTCCGTCGCTTCATGTCCTTGCGCCTCTCTCTCTCTCTCTCTCTCTCTCTCTCTCTATATATATATATATATATATATATATATATATATATATATATATATATATATATATATATATATACCTTTTACTCCCTCCTTACCCCCATCCTTTGTAAGCTACTTTTGTGGTGTCGCACCAGGGGCAGAGAGTTATGCGTTTTACTTTTCTCATCTTTTCCCTCTTATAACCACCTAAGTAAGCTATTCACCACCGAACCCAAATCCAACTAGAGAGGACTAGGAGGCGGCCCTGCTCGGTTGCCTGGACCTTCCGGCCCAACGAGCCATGATCCAGCATGCCAGCACAGCGGCCATGACCAATGGGGTCCCTGACCATGGACTCCAGCTAGTACTGCAGGGAAGCTGACCCACCAGAGGCTGGTTTTCCTGGCAACATCTGTTTTTTTTTAATGTTTACTACTACTATATGTATACTACTTTACCCGAGTTCCCTCCACGGGAAGATGTGGGCAGCATTTTAAATGCGAAGCATTTCTTAAATAAATTCAGCGGCTTTGAGCGTATCTATCTATCTATCTATCTATCTATCTATCTATCTATCTATCTATCTATCTATCTATCTATCTATCTATCTATCTGCCCCAGGTGGTCAAAATTTCCGGAGCCCTCCGCTACGGCGTCTCTCATAATCATACGGTGGTTTTGGGACGTTAAACCTCACATATAATATCTATCTATCTATCTATCTATCTATCTATCTATCTATCTAGCCGCCTAAGACTTTTAGCTCTCCTGGCCGTTTCGATAATGGTACCAATACCAAACTTGGTATGGGACAAGATGACTGTATGAAGAACATATTTGAGGAGTCCTAACATGAAAATTGTGACATGTACGTCATGAATGTCATGATTTACATTTCATGGTCTTGCAGCTGTTGTGATGGTTTCGTTCCCATATCATGTTGCAAAACTGATATGGTATGGCATGATTGCAGGGCGAAGACAAGCGACAGACCCTTGAATGAAAATCACAGCATGCGTTTCATGTAACAACATAACTACATGCCACGCTCATGATGCGCTCGCGGCCGTTTCACTTGCGTCACATATACCAAGTTTGGTATTACAATACGTGAATAAATTACGAAGGTATATGACTGGTGCAAACATGATAATCATGAGATACGTGCCATATAACAACATGACTACATACCACGCTCATGATGCGCTCGCGGCCGTTTCGCTGGCTTCCCATAAGCCAAATTACGTATTACGTGACGTGAATGAAAGACGACGGTAAATGACACGTCCAAACATGATAATCATGACATGCATGTCGTGTAAAACATTACTACATGCTACGCTCATAGTGCGCTCACGGCCGTTTCGCTAGCTAACGTAGCGTCACTGTGCCCAGCGTGCGCGTGCGTCAACGCTACATTGGAGTAAATTGGGTCCTTCATGATGCACTCGCGGCCATTTTGCTAGCTCCACATATACAAAATTTGGTGTTACGTGACGTCAGTGGACGACGAAATATATAACAGGTGCAAACATTATTCTGACACGCGTGTCATGCAAGAACATGACAAGATACTACGCTCATAACGTGCTCGCGGCCGTTTCGCTAGCTCCACATACACTAAATTTGGTATCACGTGACGTGAATAGATGACGAAGGTAAACGACACATTCAAACATGATAACCATGGCACGTAAGTCATGTGCGGCAGCATTTACCTCCCCCTCGTAACGTTTTGCTGATTTTTAAGTGATATATCAACATTTCTCATTCTTGCTTCGCATATTATCGATTCCCACTGTACGTGGGATCTGCAATTTTTTTTTTCGTCCACGTTTCCTTCTTCCCATTTACATTAAAGCCCAAACTCCATAAGCGCGAAAATGCACGCGACAGCGACGAGCGACGCGACGTAGATCGGCGTCGCGCGATCAGTCGCTAGCGCAGGCAAACCTCATTCACGCGACGGCTTCGGCGAGCGAATTCCACTGTTGCTGGCATGAGGCCGTCAACTCGCACCAAGAAAACCGCGTAGCGAGCGGTTTCCAATTAAAAAATAAGATATATTGTTGTGTAATGAAACGGAAAGTGTTTATTATTGCCTTGCAGCATTTTTTATATGCGCATGCGTAATAAACATTGCGTTATTTCTTGTTGCGCATACGTGACTCGGGCAGGGTCACGTGCACCTATGTAGTCTTCGTCTTTTCCGGTTTTTCGCTATTGGCTGCTTGAGCCCAGCACTTCCGGGCGATGAGCGACGGTTTCCAATTATGGAGAAGCGAGCGATCGCGCGAAAACGAGCACGCGACACGTCGCGCGAACGCCCTGTTTCGTCGCTCATAGCGTCGCTCGTCGCTGTCGCGTGCATTTTCGCGCTTATGGAGTTTGGGCTTAAATTTGCTGTATATACTAATAACATCCCCTATACTTTCTCTGGTAGTGGTGTCTGTTCGTTCTCGTTAATATTGCGTCAAACAAGAAAAAACAAGCCCTTAAAATTTCCACTTCTTTCTTTCTCCGTGGTAATAATATTATCCGGAGTTTTACACACCGAAACCACGATATTATTATGAGGTACGCCGTAGTGTAAGGCTCCGAAAATATCAACCAAGCTAGTGCTCTTAAACATGCACTAACAATGCATAGCAAATAGCCCTCCAGAACTTCACCTTTATCGAAATTTGACTGCTGCAGCCGTGATCGAACCATCTACTTTCGGGTCAGCCACACAGTAACGTAACCGCTACCCACTACGATGGACGAGTGTCACACTGACACCGCTGAGTATTACATTAGGGTTGCTTTACATCTTGCTTTCCTAATTATTCTTGACCAACCAAGCTGTGACGTACACTTCTAGTAGACTTGTTTCGCTTTCGCTTTATGGCCTTCAGTGATTTCAGTGACGCATTTACATTACGGATATGACGTTTTGAAATGTGCGCGAACACATGAAAAGAAGAAAAAAAACTAGAAAAAATCACAGCATATTCACGGAGTGCACGGTGATGAGTGGGGTGAAGCGTCCGTCCGTCTGTACGACCGTCCATGCGTCAATTCCTGCGTCCGTCTATCCATGCGTCCGTCCATCCGCCCTTCCATCTAGTGAACACTCCAAGTACCGCCATCTTGAATCTTTTCAATATATATTCCATATATAGAAGTACTGCCATACAGCGGACATTCCAAGGACTAAACGAGAGGCAACATTCGCGCACTTTCTTACGGCCTGAGCTTCGTATCTACTTCCCACCTTTCACCGCCTCTGGTTCATTGTTATATACTAGTTCACTGTATTCACGGCACTGTGGCCCAACACTCGCTAAACCTTGCTAAAACCAAGGAGGTTACGCTCAGCGAGTAACGTGGCAACCCTTTCTGGTCAGATATGGCTTTAATTGCATTGTTCTGATACTAGTTTTTTTTTTAGTAAGCATCAAATTTAAAAAGAATTTTATTAGATACTGAGTCTTCAATACTCGTAAGTTATGTCATCGAAAACAATGGTCTTTTTATTTTTGATAATGTGCGCGGGTTTCCTCCTCCATTGAAAAGGGTGCGCACGTGCTGCTCCTTTAGTCCGGCCGTGGAAGAGGCTACCTACTACTACTTCGACTACTACTACTGCTACTACTACTGCTACTACTACTGCTACTACTACTACTACTACTACTACTACTACTACTACTACTACTACTACTACTGCATACATACATACATACATCGCGGACGCGCACGACCCACGGCATAGGGCGCTTGGCCCCAAAAGTCGCCAGGAATCGAACCTCGACACCTCACTCCGTAGCGTGCGGCGCTACACGACTTGACCACCAAATCAACTTATTGACGCACAAGCCACGCCATAAGGAGCGAAGATCCTTATGGCGTGGAATACTGGCGGCGAGCTGTTTACATAATTCACTATTCCCCGCTGGCGATAAAAGGAGAGCTCGGAGGCACTTAAGCGTGTTTGCATAATCACCAATGAGATGGCGTGTAGTGCGAGTAGAGCACACTTTAAAGGGCCCG